ATACTGGTAGGGTACCTGTGTTCTTTGGTATTTGCCCCGTTCTTTTACATCACCTCTTCAAATCTAAGTGAGATTCATTTCTAAAGGAAGCAAATTTCTTTAAGTCACTATCATGGATAGAAACTAATAACCCCAGGTACAGAAGATAAATGTGATGATAAACATAATATGGTGTTCTTAAGTTCTACAGAAGGCAATCCAAAAGGAACATTTTTTTAAAAAAATGCTAACTTTCTCACCATGACTCCATATTAAAAACTGCTGTTATGTGGCACCGCTTAAAATCATCTCTAGCAGTACCAGTGGTATATGCATTACACTCAGGGAAAAAGTGAACTAAATGGATAATGATATAGTACTGTGATGTACGTCAAATAACAGCATAGGCTATAAAATTTACATTACTAACCCTTGAGGCAGGATTCATGATGCATTAACAAAGTCAGTCTGAGATTCTCGGATAGCAAGATAGTACCATGGGGTAATACCTTTTCTTACGTATCCAGAGGCCATTTCCCTCCAACAACTAAGGATCAGTGAGCACAGGAAACAGACATGAAGCATTTTACCACCGAAAACTACTTCAGACCTTAAATCAGGGCCGTATGCTTTCTTTAGGCATTGTAACACCATATTCAGATACCAATTTTATACATGCCAGTCATCCTTTATGATCAAGGAAAACAGTTTCTCTTACCCCAAGTTTATTTTAGTTATTTGCCTGATTAAAAAAATAACCCACTGTTAGGACAGGAGAAATGTGTCACTTTCCTCACCTGTCACTGGGTTTGTATGGAAGCAGTGGCTTGTCCCCACTCAGTCACAGGACACGGCCCACTGTCCAAAGTCAGCCAGGTGTTGAGTGGCAAAGCCAGGGCTCCTACCCCGAGTCCTGCCTGCCAACCACATCCAGCCATTTGGGGGGCAAAACTGGGCTCATCCCAAGCCTCTTTCTCCTTTTATCCCAGAACAAGTGTCCACAGCCTATATATAGCCTACAACCACCACTTTTCCTTCCTAAGCTCACTCTTCTCGTTTCTAACATAACACACAATTCCCTTGACTTTGTGCCTGAAATATCAGAGAACAAAGCCACAGAATCAAGGTTTAGAAGTCTTGGCAGTTCTTCCTGGCATAGGACACGAGCCTATGAAAACTTCTCTCCTCCTCATTTTTCTGGAGACAAACACAAGGCTTGTCTTTTCTCCCTCACTTGAGCTAAGGAGCATCAGGACACGTCTAATTTTGCTTCTGGACTAAAAGGCCAACTCGAGCTTAGGCCAGTAACAGCATCTTCTCCTTTCACCATCAATATCTTGATGGTTTCCCACCTTCCATGTGAGAAGGCACCGGGCTACTGGACCTGAGCAAAGCCATGCTCATAACCACAGGAAGCTGCTGAAGGAATGTTAGTAGTGAGCTTGTGGATCCTGCCACTCAGCGTGTGCAGTGGATCAGCAGGGCTGGCAGCCCCTGGGGGCTTCTAGCAATGCAGACTCTCTAGCCCCGTTCCAGACCTGCTGCATCAGAACCCAGAGGTTAACAAAATCCACTGCATGCTGAAGTCTGACAAACACTGATCCAGTGACTTGAATGGTCGATACCAACAGCCTGCCTTCATCCACAGTCAAGCAATGCTCTCTGGAAAATCAGGACTGAGGAAGCCAGTAAAGATCCTACCGTGACAGAGAGAGCCTTGGCTGTGGATCTGCTACAGTTCAGGACTGGGGAAGGACTCAAAGGAACAGCCTCTCTGATCATGGAGGGCAGCCTCAGCCAGAGCCACAGAAAACTAGAGGCTCCAATAGGCAAACCCTTACAAATGCCTCTTTCCACACAAAGTAGGGGTTTTATACTGCCTCTCAGGCTAGAGACTTAGCAACTTTTATTTACCTACTCAGTTGCCTAGGAAATTCACACTAATGTGATTTGGCCTCAAAAAAGAAAAAAAAAAAAGAGAGAGAGAGAGGGAACAGTGAGATTGGGCTGACCTGGAAATAGCTTAAGACCCATGTTCCATGTTGGTTAAACTAAATAGTGACCTTGTTCTGCTCTGTCATCTCTGTTTTTCTCACAACCTCAAAGAAAGCCCAGAACCCTGTCTGCCACCCTCCTCCACACTGTCCATCTGTCTACACATCCACATCCACAATACACACACACCCATGCTACTGAGCCAGAGCTAGGCTCTGCCAACAGGGGAAGCGGGATGTTAACTCCTCTCAGCATTTTTTAATGTTTATTTATTGATTTTGAGAGAGAGTGTGTATACGTGCACATGAGCAGCAGGGGTGGGGCACAGAGAAAGGGAGAAAGAATCCCAGACAGGCTCCATGCTGTCAGCGCAGAGCCTGACATGGGGCTCAAACCTACAAACCATGAGATCAGGACCTGAACCAAAAATCAAGTCAGATGCTTAAGTGACTGAGCCACCCAGGCGCCCCTTCCCTCAGCATTTCTAAATAAGCCTGATAAGGTGACAGCATCACAGGATCCTTCACAAAACTCCCAACACCTGCAGAAGGAAAGGAAACTTCATTCTGTGTCCTGACAGACTTCCCTAGAAGTCTAGTTTGTTTCATCAACATGCTGGAAGGTATAAGGGACATATGGGAGGACGCATGTAGCCCTTCTTTCTAGATAAGAATGGAAAGAAATTGCAGATGTGAAAAGTGGCAAAACTCTTCTAATGACAATTTCAAAAGTGCTATTTTATTTCTTCAGATTGTGTGATTTCAGTGACCACTGTCCTCAGTCACTGCTTCCTTGCAGAATTAACTGCCAGCGACTCTTTGTAACAGATAATTGATGAGACAAGGGGCAGCAGTTTCAATTATATATACTTTATTAAATTTAATGTTTATTTTTGAGAGAGAGGGAGAGGGAGGGAGGGGCTGAGAGAGGGGGACACAGAATCTGAAGCAGGCTCCAGGCTCTGAGCTGTCAGGACAGAGCCCAAAGCGGGGGCTCAAATTCACAAACTGAGATCATGACCTGAGCCAAAGTCAGACACTCGACTGACTCAGCCACCCAGGCTGCCCTCAATTATATATATTTTTAGATAAATGTGATATAAGAGAGCTATGCAGCCGTTCCGGCCTCATGCCTGCCGCATGCCACACTCAGGTGTAAGGAAAGCTGAACCTGTGCTGAGTGGAGGGACCAACCATTGCACTACTTGCTACCCCTGTCTCCGGGGAGCCAAACGTTAGGGCGTCCTGGGACCTAGAGCTTATGGCTTATACCTGGCTTAAAAAGATGAGCTGAGGCGGGGCGGCTGGGTGGCTCAGTTGGTTAAGCGTCCAACTTCGGCACAGGTCATGATCTCATGGTCTGTGGGTTAGAGCCCTGCGTCAGGCTCCATGCTCACAGCTTGAAGCCCGGAGCCTGCTTTGGATTCTGTGTCTCCCTCTCTCTCTCTGCCCCTCTCTTGCCCGTGCTCTGTATCTCTCTCTCACTCTCTCAAAAATAAACACTTAAAGAAATTTAAAAGGCAGCCATTCCTCACTTAGAAATTTGTCACTAACAAACAGATGCCCCAGCAGGGTCAGAAGCCAAAAAGTGCGTGGAAAGGGACCACACGACTGGGGCCTGGAGGGCCCAGTTCCAAGAGAGCAGGTCAGCGGGGAGGGAAGAACAGGGCAGCTCCCAAGAGAAGCAGACACAGTGTAAGACAGAGGCCATGAAACTCCTACCTTGGTGTCCGAAGCCAGCTCCACGCCAATGCTTTCAGGATGTTAGCTCCACCCCCATCCTCAAAATCAAATACCCTTTGCCTAAGCAGGTCTGGGTCTTCTGCAACCCAATAAGCCAGTCCAAAAGATAAGACTTTCACCTTTTCCATTATCTTCAAGCTAAGAAAGAATTCTCCAGAAAAATAAAAGTAGAGTCTATGTCAAGAACATATGGCCTGGCCTAACAACAGTTTCCAATTCATGGGATCTGACAGATGACAAAAATTTAACAGCTGTTAAAAGTAGATGGTAAAATCATTTTTTCTTCACTACATTTTCCATCAAGTACTGATTATCACTGCTGCCTTATAACAATGACCCATCAAAATATTCTGTATCTGAGCCTTGTGGTTTCTGGGGAAGACATGAGAATGAAAGATCCAGATCTGAGTCTCGCTGAGGAGAAACTTTGAAGGGAAAGGATCATCATTTGTATAAATACTTCAGAGAAGGCCGGGGCGTATCCTGAGGAAATTACACCAGGATCTTTGCAAGAACTGAATTCCACCACTAAAGAAAGACAGGACCACTGGGAGCTGCTGCTTGAACTCAAAGTAATTAATCATGTCTACTGTCACCGGCAAGGTCCCCGGCCCACTCCACGAGCATCGATGAGGCTATAATCCACAAGGTTAAACCAGGGTATCCACTTAAAAGTGAAAGGTTAAATAGGATAGAAATATCCATTAGAATGATCAATAGAAAGGAAGCACTTCATCATTCCAGTGAAATCTGGAAATCAAAATAAACTCACAAAATATACCGCAGAAACCCCAGTGAGGAGAATCAGCAGTGGCCTCATTAGGAATAATCAGCCTGACAACACGCCTGGACAGCAAGCTGCTCCGTCCACTGCAGGGAGACAGCTTCTCACAGGAGCCCGGCCACCAGGCCACAGCTGAGAAACCACCCTTCCCCCGCGGACGGCTGCCCTTCCACTCAGTGGCCTCTGAGCAGGGGACCAATGACCACACCAATAGCTCTCAGGGTCCCCAGTCCTCTCTCAAGCTCCCTGAATCAGAATGAACCAACTTTGCAAAAATCATCGTCTAAAAACTGTGCTATTAAACATTTTTGGTGAGTACCCATAAGCCGACTAAACTATTCAATAAATGGCATTAATTTCATCCCCAAATTTACACAGAGCTTTTTCCATAACCATTGGAAAAAGCAACTCCAACAGCATTTATCCAGCTACATTCACCAAAAATTGCCCCCAGCACCAGAAGAGACAAATGGACAATTCAAGTGGGATCTTTTTCTTACCATTCCGAGATACATCAAGTTCCACCAGCTGCATGAAGTTTGCTATTTCTGGAGGGAGCCGCTGAATTTCATTATCACTAAGTCCAAGCTTTCGTAATTTGACCAGCTGGAAAAATTGCTGAAAGACAAAATAGTTTCACATGGGTCTCACATATATTTGCAATGTACAATTTCTGCCCCGTATGAAATTTAAAACAATAGGTCTTTTAAAAGTGAATGAGGATTGTACCAACGTCAACTTCCTGACTTTGATATTTAAGTAATAGTCATGTAATAGTCATATAGTCCACCACTGGGATAAACTGGGTACAAAGATAGCTCTGTACTCTTTTTGCAACTTCCTATCAATCTACAATTATCTAAAAAGTTTTTAAAAATGAGTAAGTAGCTCAGTGAGAATGGTAATTACTCCTTTAAACTATTCAGTAGATGGTCACACTTTGTGCTTACAGACAGCGATACTCAATCGGTGTTGTTAAATCAATATATGTAAAAATTAGAATAAATATTTTAAAAGACATTTTTAGTAGGAATGACTGTGCATCAGAAAGTTTATAAATATCCCACAAATGTGCAAAGGGAAAAAATTGTTTTTGACCAATCAAAAGCAGAGTCTGCTTATTCCCATTACCCAGGGCACACTGAGCACACGCCTTTTTCCCCAAACCCTTTAAAACTGCACTAAAATGACACTAAAAGAATTTATGCAGAAATGGATATAAATATAAAAATATGAAATAAATGTATGAAGACAATTGAAAATGAAAAAGGACAAGAAACAAGCTAGACATGCCACAAAATCCTTAAAGTCAGAAAACAGATGAACCAATGGGAACTAATGAAAGAATCCAAACAATGCTGGAATCCAAGCCTGTGGAGTGAGGAGTCAATAGGAAATTAGGTCCAGGTGACCTCTGAAGGAAGGAGAACTAAAGAATAGTTAGGTCCCCATATCCTCTTCTCTACCCTGCATAGCCAGGCAGGAGACTGGAAATTTCCCCTCTAAGAGAATTGGCTCTAAACACAGCTGAGGGCAGGGGTGAGGCACCCTACCGAAACAGAGGGACTCAGTCAAAGCCCTGTGAATGAGATCCCACCCCCTTCCCGAAGCCAGGCTCCCAGGCATGAGAACAGACCCTACAGACAGGAATTACAGTACAGTATAGAGAATCCCCAGGTTACAAGCCCCACCCATGCACAAAGAGCTTCCAACTATCTTTTTTTCCCCCTTCAAGCGTCTGAATCAACCTCTCTTTCTGTCTTTCTTTCATGTCAGTGGGGTTTTTTGTTTGTTTGTTTGAGATAGAGAGAGCACAAGCAGAGGGGGCACAGGGAAAGAGAGATAATCTTAAGTAGGCTCCATATTCAGCGTGGGGCCTGATGTGGAACTCTATCCCATGACCCTGGGATCATGGCCTGAACCAAAAGCAAGAGTATGATGCTGGGGGCACCTGGGTGTCTCAGTTGGTTGAGTGTCCAACTTCAGCTCAGGTCATGATCTCACAGTTCATGAGTTCAAGTCACACATCAGACTCTCTGGTGACAGCTCGGAACCTGGAGCCTGCTTCAGATTCTGTGTGTGCCTCTCTCTCTGCCCCTCCTCTGCTCACGCTCTGTCTCTCTCTCAAAAATAATAAATAAACATAAAAAAAAAAACCAAAGAGTCTGACATTCAACCAAATGAGCCACCCAGGCACCCCCAGATATTTCATTTAAACAAAGCCAAGTTTCTCTGGACACTTGAGGAAAGCCCCCACTGCAAAAAAAGTACTCATGCTTCAAAGTATGTACCCGTGCTTCAAATATGAATCAAATATGATGTGGGGCAGAGGAAAAAAAAAAACTTCATCAACCAAAAATATAATTAATACCCTCAGAGAAATAAGAGAAAACAAAGCAACATGATACCATAAAAAGCAAGTTTCAAAGGAGAAATATGCTTTTGGAAATTAAAAAAGAAAAATTGTAGCATTAATAAAAGACGTGAAAAACAAAGTTAACAAGATCCATCAGAAATCAGAATAAAAAGACTATGAGAGAAATGAGAGCAGAAAAGGCAGGAAAATTCAAGGACTGGTCTACAGGGTATGATACCCAACTAACAATATTCCAAAGAAAATAACAGGACTGCATTTTCCAGTTAGGATGAGACCTCCACGGGGCCAATAAAATGAATGACAGAGACATGTAAGAATACCAGAAAATATATAATTTCAGAATGCCAGAAACAAGAAGATTCCAAAATCCTCCAGAGACCAGGAGGTGGGGGTGGGGGTCATAACAAAGAATTGGGAATCAGAAAGGTGCTAGATTCCACAGCAGCCTTGAAAGTAAGAAGGCATGGAGCAATGCCTTCAAAATTCCAAGAAAACATTGTTCCCAACCTAAAATTACATACCCAACCAAACCATCAATCAAGTATGATGACAAAATAAAAACATTTTTAGACATGCATGGTCTCCAAAAAATGTCTCTTCCTTGCACCTCAGGAACCCATTAAATGTAAGCATAAATCTCAAAGGAGGAGGATAGGGGATAGAGAAATCAGAGAATCAACAAAACAGAGAGAAACAAAAGAAATTCCCAGGACAGAACAGTGAAGGAACTTCTAAGGAGTCAGCTGAGCAGCTAGTCCTGAGAGAGAACAGTCCACACTGCAGACAGTGGGGTGGTTCCCAGAAGGATTTTTGAGGGGAAAACGCACATCTGTGGGATTAACAAACACACATTCTGCTGTGTTTGAAAAATCAAGATTTGTTTGTTGATAAGTTAGGAACAGAGAAAACAAACTAAGCAAAAAAAGAAAAATATAAAGTATTCTTATATATTCATAATATAAATGTAAGACTTGGTTATGACAAATACTTAACATCTACATATTGATAAAAGCAAAATTTATGTTATGCCAATATTGAGAGGATGGAGAAGAAACAATAAGCACTAAAGTCTCATCTTCCATAGAACGAAATCAAAAGATACCTACAGAGTGGGAAAAAAATCAAACTAAAAGCAAGCTTAGCAATGTCGGGGCATACAGCAGTGGAAAGAGCCAGGGGCTGAGGGTTGTCAAGAGCCAGAAACCGGGCTGGGGGACAGGATGGGAAAGAGGCTACTGTTCTTCATATGTCACATTAAAAAAAAAAAAAAACAAAAAAAACACTATTTACATATACTACTTTGCTAAAATTAGAAATTAAATTTACAAAGGAAAAAGTCTCTACTAAGATTACAGGCTACCCCAAGTGATAATTTTGAAGGATGCTAACATTTAATAAGCTTCAGGGACTGTATACTTATAGAATCAAAAAGAAGGCACTGTCATTTGGAAAGCAATTGGGCAACACATAGAACATGTTTTCAAGTCCACTGACATAATAATAATACTTTTGAGCATCTGTCCTTGTAATACAGAGTAACTGACAATAAGAAAAACAAGCTACAAGGCACAATATGTCTTTCTTTGCATTATTATCAGTGAAAAGGAAAAAACCAGAAAACATATATGTGAAATAAGGGAAATGATCAGCATGTTATTAAATAATTCAATATTGAGTAAGCGACACAAATAATTACTATAAAGACCAAAGAACTTAAAAAGATTTACAATGCAGATACAATTTTAATGAAAAAATTGCAGGTACACTGTAAAAAAGCATGTGTGCAGGCTGTCAGGAAGGTAATACAAGAAAAAAGTTATTTTAGGTGATAAGGAAAATGCACAAACAACTTAAAATTATTTTTTAACAAAAACAAAGACGTTTTTAAATACAGTGAACTATGAATCTCAGCAAATGGATGCTACTACCAATTAGCTATCCATGATAATGAAAGTGCTCAATGAAAGAACTAATCCTGTGGATTTCTTTAATCATACAGTTGAGATTTAATTTCTTAAGGAAAGGTATTGAAATTTCTTTATACTGGTTGAACGAAAGCATTAGCCGACACAAAAGCAATTCAAAAGAGTCACATATTTGAATAATTGAGCTTATGCCAATTGTTCAAAGAGTCTGACAGTTTCATAATGCATCAATGTGTTTACTCAAGCATGAAAAGCTCACTTTATTCTTCAGGAAAGATAGAACCGCAACAGCACAAAACCATCACCAATTCCATACATTCAGGGACCATTCAGAAATAATACAAGAAATCAAGTCACTAAGGTACTTAGATCTGCAGTGAATAATAAGTTCGTTTTACATCTGTGGAAACAACAGCTTACAAATCCCCACATCCAGTGTAAATCATAACAGCAGGCAAATTTAAGTTTTGTTCTACATATTAAAAGCATCCTCAAAGAGAGCCTGTCACAAACACTACTTTATTCAACTTGGGAAGCACATACCAGACATAATAATGACCCCATCTGACAGGGTCCCAAAATGAAAATAGTAATTCCTAAATCCTCCCCTCATTACCGTGATGGGATCTTAATTTGGCATCCAAGTGCTTTAAATTAACTATTTTCTTATAAGACCAACACCGTGCCACTAAGACTTTATTAAATCCTCAAGTTTTCTACTTCCTTAGATAGTCCGGGGGGAAAAAACCCACCAAGCTGTAAGCCCTTCTGCCTTCTCTTGACATGAGCCAGGGCACAGGCAGAACAATTCATGCCGCTGTCCTGGCAGGGTTCCGCAGCACGGAGCGATCATGTGATGCAACACACAGACACCATTCTTCGGCTGTACCATGTTTGATTACAGCACACTGGCCCGCTTTGGAGACACTGTGTACAATTACATGCAAAGGAACCCAAGCTGCCTTGGCTTCTTATGCCACACCACAGCCTTCTTAGAGCCACCCTTGTTGTTAGTAGATGCAGAGTCTTTAATTTGACTGAACAGCATGTTTCCTTCTCCCATTCCCCATTTTGACAAGATTCATTTTCCCTCTTTTGGCAGAGTGTTAGTACCTCCCTTCCTGTTAGAAAGGGACATGGGAAATCTCAGTTCTAAAACAGCTAGGTCCTTTATAATTAGTATATGGCCGAGGATCAGTCAATTGTCCCCCCACTGCCCAAACCTCTCCTCCACAGGGTAAGCATAAATCATTGTTACAGATTCACCTGGAGGACAACAGCGTAAAGAATGTTCTTAAACTCCAGGGATGCCTGAG